GGCCTGCCCCCCCCTCCTGCCCCTGCCTGCCCCCGGCGGTGCCCAGCACACCCCGGCGCGATTTGGTTTTTTTTCGCCGTTGCTGTCTGCAGGCTGTCAATAACGCCGTGGCCTTAAAGTTAACCATATAATAGGCGATGCTTCGGGCGACGGCGTTTCTTCATAGCACATCGTACATTTGCAATGAAGAACGGCCATTTCCGGAAACGTCACCTGTTGTATATTTTTATTTTAAGGCCGCTGTTAACGACCACCGGTGTGTCGAGTTGTTTTTGTTGTCTGTGCGTGTGCTACCACTGCCAACGCAGCAGCAGCAGCATCGCCAGATGTCGCGAGCGTGTGATCAGTGCCACCCGGTTGCACCGCGTTACCCCCACAGCAGCGAGCGATTAACACGATCACGCAGCGCTAACGATCGCAGATTCCGGCTCCGTCCTGCGTCACGGGAACCGCTTCCCTCCCCGGCCGGGGAGGAGACGCAAAGAGATGCAGGGGGCGTCTGTGCACATTCCCCGACGCCGTGAATTACATTTTTGACTCGGAAAAGCGCGACTCGTCATTTCAACTCTTGGCCATGGCTTAAAGAGGCGCGACCCTCGCGGCGTTTGGAGGCGTCGAGCTCGAACCTCGTGTGCGCGCTGTAACGTACCCAACGACAATGGCAATCTGTGCGCTACTCTCATGGGATTCCGTTGGAGTGTTGCGGAGAGCGGTGAACTTTCAAGCTCCCGTGCTTCATCCGCTACCTGGCGCTCCATCCGCGATCTGGATTTTATGGAAAATCTGTAGTCAGTACGAGCACAGTGATAGGTCACTTATGTAAGTATAAAGTAAATATGCTGAATTTAAACGCGCTGTACAGAGTTACGTGTACCGGCGGTAACGCACGCCGTTCCGAGTCGTGTGCCGGTCTTGCTTTTCGCTTGTGGTGTCATATATGACCTAACCATTGCAACGCACCCCTTTGTACAGACTATGAAAACAAGTGTATTTTTGTTCTACTGTTATTGTTTTTTTCTCATTGTTTCTCGAATAGAGGGATGGTTAATTGTAGATAAACGTAAAAATTTGGGTTTTGATTTTTATATTATTTTGTTTTGGACGCGGTTCGGACCCCAATAAATTTGCCTTATTTCAACCCTGTGCCTTTTAATCGATGTAAACTACCGCAATTCATTTTGGCGTCGCACATTCATTCATTATTTAACTTGTGTGTTCGCCAAATGAAATACCGGTACTGTACATAAAAGGAAGCGGCCAGTGTTTTGATGATTAGACACTAAGTAACTTTTACAAAAAATAATACCGACTTAAATTCACTCTTAAGTCAAAACGTCCAAGGGTCTCTCCCTGCTACAATGGGTGTCAGGTGGTGTTCATGCCCTGTAGGTTGTCGCGGTCGCGCTGTGTAGCTCCGATGGGTGTCGAGATGTCCCCGACGCTTCAGAAGAAGCTCTCGGCACGTTGTCCAAAACGTCGAACCACGCCACACAACCTGAACACGAGCGTGGGGGGCAGTTATTTTCTAAACAGGAAATCCATTGTTGACTCACTCCACATGGCAGTGCTCATTATACCAACCGCTGGAGTAATTCTGGGCCGAGTTAACCGCCAACCAGGATTTGAACTTGTGACCTTCAGATTGCCGACCGAGCACTTGAGCCACAGCGCCACCCGACCAGCCTGAACTCCGCTAACGCAAGTTCGTGTTAGACCATTGCTGTTCGTGGCTACTGTTGGAAAGGAATGTAATAAATAAGCCCGTGCGTACTTTGGGGTTTCTCATTCTCGAAACTTTGTGACCGCCGCCTCGTGTGCGTGTAATGTAGAAGCTATACTGGAATTCGTGTAAAACATTTTAAAAGTTTTTGTGTCAATGAACGCCTCGTGGCTGAAACCATTTGACAATCTTGAGCCAAGCTTCTTCCCCGCGGCATTTTTTTGCGTTCTCTTCGTTTCAACGTCACGCCCTGCGAGGAGTGGCAACGTGTTCTCTGGACGGGTCGGGGCAGCGTTCCTGCGCATGGACCCCACGTCCCCTGTCAGACTCGGCCGGTCCAAGCACCGCATTCCTGGCCAGATTCAGAATATTGATACTGGAGGAATCCGATGAGCAAGAAAGATCTTTTTGTGCACAGATGTTTTGCAAAGTTTAACATAGCCCTGCTGCCATTGTGTGCCAGCGTCATTATATCCGCAAATTTCTAAATTGCCATTACAATACAGCAATTAATAACCACATTGCTTTACCAAGCCATTACTGGAAAACGAACGCGCGCGTGCGGGACCGGTGGCGAGTCGCATTGGGCCGCACGGCGACATCCGCAACGAGGGCGGAGAGGTGTCCCTTGAGATGAGATGACGTGATGCCGAGGCGCGTTTGAGGTGGCGAGCCATGTAAGCGAGTGCCCAATGAATGCAAATATCCGGTGACAGGCGGGGGGGCTGCGTTGGCAGTAATAATAATAATAGTACAATTTGTAACGCGCGCAAATTTGCAGACGTAGTGGCCGCAACTCAGAAGCGCGGAGCCAAGCTCAGAGTCGCTCAAAAGCATGATTGTAGAGGTGAGTTTTTAAGTGTCTCTTGAAGGAGGCGATTGAGGTGATGCTGCGAATGTGCAGAGGGATATCGTTCCAGACTGTTGGGGCTGCCACCGAGAAGCGGCGCGTAGACATGACCATCCTGGATCTTGGTATTGAGAGGAGGTCGTGAGTCGCGCTGCGCAGGCATCTGCCGTGTGCTGAGCTGCAAGTTGTCAGTAATGAAGAAAGATACGGCGGGCAGGCGGATATGAAGGCATTGTGGCAGAGGCAGGCGGTCTTGTATGTGACCCTACTGGCAATGGGGAGCCAGTTGAGAGCGCGGAGACGAGCTAGTGAGTCGAGGCGGGGATGAGTGTGGGCAATGACGACGCGTGCTAGGTTATTTTGTAGTCTTTGAAGCTTCCTTAGGTTGCCAGCGGAGGTCCGGACAAGGACGGAGTTACAATAGTCAAGGCGAGACCCAACTATGCAACATGCCAAAGTGTTGGCAATTTCAGTAGAGATGAGAGGACGTATGTGTCTAAGAGCCTTCAGGTGAAAGTTACATGAGCTAATGATATGGTTGGTTTGACGGTCGAAGGATAAAGTTGAATCTAGGATGACACCGAGGTAGCTGAAGTGGTTGGTGAACTTGGCAGTGCTGCTTCCGCACTCGCACAATAAACAATAAGACCTGTCGGTAACCCTCCGTGTCCTTACGAAAGTGCGCACAAAGAGAGCAACTTGCTCAAATGTTATGAAATGTATTTCGAGTTTTGCTCGTATTTTTCAGGAAAACAACGCGGCGAGTTCGTTTCGTTTTCAACGCATTTTGCTGAAACATAAAGAAGGCAATCGTTGCATCGTTCAATAGCCGGGAATGTTACCTGCGAAGTTCCGTTCCCCGTCAGCTGTTTGATGACTGCGTGCTTTTGGTTAACTCTGCAGCAACAACAACGTCACAAGCATCTGCTCTCTGTGTCACCAATGGCAGATGGATCATACATTCATAACGAGTGCAAGTGTGTGAGAAGTTGATCGTTTAAAAAAAAAGTATCGTCACTCTTAAACCTACACAAGAGCCGTGTAAATATGCAAACTGCCTCATTACAGAAAGTGTTTGCTTATGTTTAGCATAAGTGTACAGTTTTACAATTATATACATTGTCTAAATATATTTCTAAACTATCGACTGCCTTCTGTGATGGAATTAAGACTGAACGCCCTTTTACAAAACGTGGTATGGTCCCCCCAAGGCTGCTGTGCTGCGGTTGGGCGAAACCATTTCTTGTACAGGGGTGGGTCTCAATTCTCTCGGCAAGTGTTGCGTATGCTCTAGAAATAATTACCTTAACTTGGTTGTATGCTGTCGCTTGCGAAAAGCGTAAACAATGGACCGTTCAATTTTTCGATTTAAAGCTTTCGTGACTGCAGGGATTCATCTTCTTGCTTGCGTTGTAGCCGAAACGTCGTGAGAATGACTTTATTATGTTTTATTTTTATTATTTCCCTTCTACGTAACTTTACCGAAAGAACCAAGAAAATGGACCGTTCCAAAAGAGGCACATGAGAGTGGGAACCCCCATGAGAGAAGTGGTACATTACACAAATCGTTCCCACATTTGTGAGCCTTCGAGTCGTCTGTAGCCCCAGTCATGAATGGATCGTCATGGACACAGGACATGCACGTGACTGGGGAAAGAAACGTGCTCGGACGCCTCCACTTGGCCATGGCATTGTGATGCTTCACGTGTGTTTATAATAAAGATCGGCGTTTCAGACCCAGCTAAATGTCAACGTTATTTGTGCACCACTGCGAACGCACCAAATAACTGGTTTAGTACACATGTACTCCATTGCACCTGGAGGTAGTACAGCAAACAATGTTGCTCGCACATGATGTGCAAGCAAAGTGTACCCACCTACTCAAATACCCACCCACAAACTCGCCTTTCAACCCACCAACTCATAGCCACCCATCAACTCCTCCACCCACGTATTCATCTATCCTTCCACTAACTCGCCCACCAACTCATCCGCACATCAACTCACCCATCCACCAACTCATCCATCCACCCCATCAACCAACTCATCTATCCACCCTTCAGCTGATCCACCCACCAGCAAGATGGTGAACGAGCAATTGAAGAGGGGGGTGGACCACTTGGCACCGAATCATCTCTTAATAGTCGCTCTCATTTGCCACACGAGACCACCACCGTCAACATCACCAACAACAACGCTCATCCACCAACTCGCCCCAACAAATACCGGACATCCGTGAAAAATAACTTCACAGATCATCCTGCTGTGTGTATAGATATTCAGATCCACACAATCCGCACGCGGTCGCGTCTACCACGGCGCGCTCATTGGCCAAGGGGCTCGCGAGCCGCTCGACACGACGAGGCGCGCGATTGGTCGGAACCGTGGCGCGTGAGCAGCTCGACGGACCAATCAGACGCGAGGAAACGAGCGCCTCCTCGTGGGCGCGCCCGGCCTAGGAAGTTGTTCGGCGGCGGCGGCGGCATCGGCGGCATCTCCCCCTGAGGCTCATCGAACCGCGAGCGCCTTGAAGCCGCCAAACCCGAGGAGCGGATGGCCGACACCGATTCTAAGTCGGTGCAAGAAGTCGCCACTGTCGTAAGAGCGCTCGCGTTGCCGTTCGTTGTTGTTTTCTCGAAGTAACGAAGCTTTGTTCGGAGTTCAAAGTTCCGTGTTGCGGCCTAGTCGTTGTCGGTGTACACCTACCCCCCCGTCTTGCCTGGCGCTGCGTGCCCGGGGGCCCCGCGCTCGGCTCGGCTGCCTCTGCTAGCCCTTCCTGCTTCGTTATCGATTCTATTAATACGATTTTAATGTGTGTCGTGTTATTGTCGACGTACGTTTGTGTTTAATACTGAGTGAAGAATGCGTAAAAATGACGTTATATGTGAAAGTGTTGGCATTGGTTAACACTGAAGGGGCCAGTGAATGGTGATAGAGCGATGATGTCATGGGGAGTTATTGCAAAATGAAGGTCTAAGTAGCGATGTGGCTACTGCGTTCGTACTAATACTGTACTAACACAATAACAATCACTGTGATAACTCGAATACGGGGATGTAAACAAGTTATGGACGAAGACGTTTGGGTTGATTTGTTGAAGGCATCGGCCTTTGCGATACTTTTCGCGAAATCGCCACTGAATTCTACTCCGATTTCCGCGGGGCCCGCAGCGAAATGAGTAAAACTAAAACACCCCCTGAGCGCTGCTCTCATTACTCGTGGCGATGCCATGCAGCTGGTCACACGACTCTCCCCTTCAACCCACACTGACCAGCCTCTAATCTAGCAGTGGATTGACAGAGAGTAGTGGCGTCTTGCCAGCACGAGACGTTTACATATGTTTTAAAAAATTGCGTGTGTCACAAGAAAAACAATGATCGATAACAACGGGTTACTTTGGGTTTCTGTTTCTAGGACGCGTGTTGGTACGCGCAGTTGCTTAGCAGCAACTAAGTCCTCTACACCAGCGCTGAAAGTTCACGAGGGGTAGGTAGGGGGGGGGGGCATTGTAATGCATTTCGCATTTTCAACTGTTCAAAACCATAAAGCAAAAAACACAAATTTATCTCGGCACTCGTGACGTGCCGTCACGTGCAATGCGGTTTATAACCACTGATTATCAACTGCTCTTTGTCAATCCTCCGCAGCGAGAACGCCTCCCCCACACTGTGTGTCAGTCATGGAAGCTCTTTGAGCCTGGTCCCAGTTGGCCAGCAACACATATTGCAGACGCTGACGCCCTAAATTCTGGAATTTTTGTTGCAGGTGGAGAACCTCTTGCAGCAAATGCAGGAGAAGTTTCAGGCCATGTCGGATCAAATCCTCGGCAGGAATATCCTTCATGTGGAAGTGTTTGCTTCATTAGAGGCAGCAGAAATGTCTCCTTTAGACAAATACGTACTCTGCCTCACGATCGTCATCATCATCACACTCATCAATTTCAAGCAGAATTTTTTTTTATCTTGTAGTTATGTACCTACATCGTGTCCCGTGCTGTCCTGTATTAGTTTAAAGCTTCATTAATGAGAAAAAAACATACATAATTGGTTCTGTCTGTCACACTCGAGGAATGCTTCTGATGTGATTGAATTTTACGTGTAAGTTCTGAACCATAGCAGCGTATACATCTTATACAATTGGGCCTGACCGCACAGTCCTACGATTCGAGCTGTCAGGTCCATCCATGCACGAGTGCGTGCGTGTGAGCAGTCGCTGTGACCGTGTCCTTCCTTAACCGTGGCGCTCGCGCTCACTCGACGAAATGAACTCGCGGATCGACGACCTGGAGAAGAACGTGGCGGAGCTGATGACCCACGTGGATGGGGAGGAGGAAGGGGGCGTGGAAAACAAGGTGTGATGTTACGAGAAGTGGTGGCACGTCGCGTTACGATCGCATGTTTGAAGCAAGCGGGTTTCAAATTACACACGTAATATTTTCAATATATATGTTTAAGTTGTAAAAAAAAAAAATGCAAGTTTTTCTGTGTTTAGGTTTTTTATGAGACCTGTTTCTGTCTTCCCCAAATCTGCAGGACCCAAATTAACGCGGTGCAGGCTTGCAGACCAACGTGCTGGTGTGTTGGCGGCGTTGGTGTATGCTGGGTGATAACACGCACGGTGTGGGACGGGGGAGGGGTGGACTGCTGCATCGCCCTCAGCCGATAGAGAAACTCGTGGAGATCACCTTGCTAGCCGCTTTGCAGCCCTCAAAAGTATTGTGAATTTCGCACACAACGGCAGCTTAGAAGCTCACGAAATCGGTAAATACTCGAAACATTATGGCCGGATAGGGAAAGCAACCACATCGGTTGTGAATTTGTTCCTCTTTACAACTCGCATAAACAGGCTCTTGTGCAGTGGCAGTCAGGACCTGGGCATGATGATTGTTCTACGTGAAATAGTTGTATTTATTTTTTACCTTCCAACTCTTACCAACGAGAGTGGAATGGTGCCGATCTCAGGTGGCAACTCCAAGGCATTTTTGGAAATTCCTCATTCAGCTCTGCATGGTCAACTTCCCAATAATTACTTCTGATTTGATCAACCTCAGAGATGAAGACGGACAGAGTCATTCCACAACGGGGATCTCAACTTGCAGCCACATACATTTTCCATGTTGAGGAAGTCTCTTATATTTCTCCCTCGCGTTATCTCGGTTGTGCGAGCGGTGTCACGTCCACGAGACAGAAGGCCTGTGGGCACGGTGATGCAACGATTGCGCAAGAGCTACCTCCGAGATCCCTTCGGGGGCACCTTGATCCGCACAGTAGAGGGCAGCACTTTTCCAGCCACCGATTGGTAACGTTCATCGCTCGACAAGCAAACCGACGGTTTTTCATTCTTGCAGCTGGTATGTATCCAAATTATGTGCAGAACTAAATTTAGTTTTGTATATCATGGTGCATTTGTTGGTGACCGGGTTGAGACCATCAATTTCAGTACTACTTGAGAACCCGATTCAGTCGCAGGTGGCTGCAACCTGGATTTGAACCCAAGTTTGTTTGTCGGCAGTGCTGATTCCGTGCTCTGACCTCTGAGCCACCGGGGCCACCTCCAAGCATTTTCTTATTTTTATATCGTGTTCGGCTGCATTTGGGATAACACCTCTGGTGAGGTTGTGGGCTGTGGACTCGGAGCTCACTGGTTCACTGAGCAGCGGCGTGCTTAGAATGTAGAGGAGCCGTGCGAATGGAATGTTATCTACAACGGAGTCGAGATTTTTAAATTCCAGAATTGTCTTGGCTATCCTGACAAAGGTTTGCCATCTGCTGCGAAGCGGATGTTGCACGTCCCGTTTATGTCGGTCGTAATACCACTTAAAATGAATTGGTTGGTTCGTAAAGACACTTAGTTGTAGGCATTTATTTTTAAATACACCCAATTGTGCTAGCTCCACGTGGTGCACATTCGCCAGTTATGCTCTGTGTCAAATCCCTACGGTCTTTACACCTCCGATTTGCACTGGAGGCTACGTGCGGTGCGGAAGAAGCTCGACATAAATCAGACCAAGTTTGCTTCCACACCGTTGCATGACCACAGATATAGACAGTTTAACACGTAGGCTTTTGCGACCAATATCATCCATGATACAGGTTTTTTGGGGTTAGAGCGCGTAAATATATAAATGTGTCGTTAAACCCGCCACCACCCGACAGCTGATTAGTAATGTTTGTCACGTAAACAGAATTGGCATGTTCTGTATTCGTGACAATCCTTAATAATTGGCAGTGTCGGGTGGTGGCGAGTTTAACGACACATTTTTATCTACGTGATCTAACCCAAAAAAACTGTGTTATGGACAGTAATAGACGTGATCACACTTAGCTGACACTGGGGATGCCCTCAACAGACGATACAGAAGTCAATACTGTAAAAAACAATCACCATTATAAACGGGAATCGAACTCGCAACCTTTGAGGCTGACGGCACAATGTTGATGACCACAATGGACCCCTTTCCTTTCGCCACTATTAAACGAAGTCTTGCGCCAGTGTCTGCTTGTCGAGCCTTTTAACGTTACGGTTTTTTAAACACCAACATTTCACACAAATTGGGAGCATTGTTTTTATGTAAAGGTGTTGAGGTTTTGTTGAACAGGAATTCTCAAACTGCAGTTTTTATGCTGCAGATTATCATGTTTAAACATGGCCACGTGTCGTGACGACCTGTTACATTTTTTCACTGCAGAAGATTGGCAAGCGGGGTAGAGACGGGCATAGAGACTGGTGTTTGGGAAGTTCTCTTTTGGAATATGAATTTACTGCGGTTAACTTGAGGATAGTATTTTTTTTTGTACTGTAATGCTGTACGGTGTAAAGACTTTTTTGTTTATCTTTGGAAATAAATACACTAACAGCTCAATCTTGATTTGAAGCTTTCGTGACTGCAGGAATCCATACTCTTTGGTTCTTTTGGTAAAGTCACATAGGTAGAAAAATAAAATAATCTATCACGACATTTCGATCGTAACACAAGCGGTAGTCCTCAGGCGGGATTATTTTTTCTGCCCGAGGACGATCGCTTGTGTTGCGATCGAAACGTCGTGATATATATTTTTTTCTACCTACGTGACTTTACCGAAAGAACCAAAGAGTAACAGTAACGGCTAGTGGCAGTTCAGCTGCTTGTATTGTCAGCATGGGATGAGTGAATTAAAATCGTTGGCGTTCATGTACAGTTTAGTTTTTAGTCCAATCCCTGCACTTCCGATAAGCACGGTTGGCGACGTACGGCGCGAAATAAGTCCTATGTATCATTTCCCGATTGATGTGTGTGATACGAGATGGGTGTTTTAGTCCTGTGCAAATTGTAAATGTTACATTTAAAAATTTCAGAGAGCCTTGTAGGTTTAAGATTATGTTTTGCACAGATTACGAGGGGTAATGTATATTCATGCTATGTGTTAACATCAACTTACATCGAGCTCAGGAGACAGTGTGGCTCTGAATCAAAAGATGGTGTGTTTATGTCATGGCCAGGGTTAACTTAGTGTAATCATCATCCTCCCCCGTTGGGGTGTGTAAAATAGGTACCACCACTTATTGGTTTTACACCATTTCGTGAGAGAAGTAAACACTCCATTGTCCTGTGGCTATACTAGTCCCTGCCATGGCAATGGGGAATTCATTTTAACCAAATTCTCGCTCTGGAACTGTCAATGCGAAGGACACTGGGCGTGTGGTCACCAGACGTTTTTTTTACTTTGGCGTTTTAACAAACATTTCACGAGAAATGTCAACCCTAAACCGCACAAACCGAACCCGCATCAAGCGAGGGGGCATTGCCGCCCTCGTTCCCGCAGAGGGCGCCAGATTACTGGCGACCCGACGAGAGCGCCACTGCAAAGGAGCCTCATGGCGGGACCCCGGGGTCCCGAATAAACGGAAGTCAAAATCGTAATTTATTAATTTCTGTTTGGCGACTCCGTCCCACCGCGCACATGAACGCCGCGACTCACCTGGCGCGGATCGTTCTGTTGTCGTGTTGTGTCCACGCGCAGCTGAACAAGCGAATGCGCTCCATGCTCGGGTATGGGCAGGATCATAAGTCTTATCCAAAGCTGCTCAAACTGCCGACACGACTTAAGTCCTTCCTTTACCATAACGGTTTGTATAACACGGTGAAACTGCTCTCTTCATTATTATTTGTGACCTATCAATGTCTGCAGCCAGGATCAATCGATGTCAATCCTATTACCTGCAGATATTTAACAGATGAGATGCTTTCCATCGTTAATTCCTCCTGTTTGATAATACTTCTCTTGTCCGTATGGATCTGTGCAGATATGTTTTTTGTGGTTAAGTCATAGTCCCCACATACCGCTCGTATCAATGCGGATAAGAGGAGTGGCGACCTACTACTCTGTAGAGTAACATTGGTATAAACGCTTGTTACAATATGCACAGCGCATTGAAAACGCGGACTATTTTATGTCCTGTTTACAAAGTGTGTTCACAAATCCACACAGACACACCATGATTGACAGAGGGGTGTAAATTATTTTTTCGACAGTGTATTTAAATAGAGGTGCTGCAGGTAAGTAGTTTTCAGTTTTAAAGGCATAGTTTAACAAGACAACACTTGCCGCCATCCTTCAAACCCATTGGTGAAAAAGAGCAATGTTTTTGTTTACATCATAATATAATGTTTATGCGAGAGTCGGGGGCTGCAGGACATGAGTACACCACAGGGACTCCTGCTTACGAACATTCGACTTGCGAGCTTTCAAAGATACGAACAAACAAGTCCGTATGTCATGTAGATGCCACATGAAGCAGTGGCATCTCTGTGAAGAACATGAAGAACCAGTGGCATCTACAGGAGATTATACAACTTTTAAAGCCATTCGCCCGTGTTTAGTGCACATGTAGAAAATGTTTGGAATCGACAGGAGTAAAGTTCCGAACAGTTCGACTTACGAACAGACCTCTGGAATCAAACTCGTTCGTAAGTAGAAGAGTCCCTGTACTGAACTACTGCCTGTAGTGCAGTCCCAACTACATTTAAGTGCAATGTGTGTGTGGCAAATCCGTAACCTCGCTATGCGTACATCAGTATCTTATTATTGGTGATGACCAACATCCGGGAATGCATCGGAGTGATGAAAGAAAGAGGAACCCACGCATTGGAGAACACACGCAGGTTAAAGACGCAGTTCAGATTATTAGGGAAATGTAAGTTGGCTTGAGCAGGACACGTGACTAAGAGGGGATGAGCACGTGGAGCGAAACGTCGGACATCGTGCCGAACAACCCGCGGTACGACCCGAAGAACACATTGCAGAGATGTACAGCACAACCGCGAATGCCTATGCCAGTAGTGAAATAATGTTTGTATTACCATGTGTTTGTGATAAT